CTCGTATTTATTCGTCTTGATTTCATTGTTCAATTTAAGATTCTCCTTATTTGATTCAGTCTTTTGATATGTGCTGGTGCTCGTCATTGCATTTAAATCCACATTAACAAAACACTCCTTCAAAGAAGACAATATAAACATGATTATTCCAGGACTGGATCACAGTATTTTCAAGGGAATTCAAAAGAAAGGTTATCGTCAGCCAACACCCATTCAACGTAAAGCTATTCCTTTGATTGTTGATGGAAAAGGTTGGTTGCTTCTATTCCATTCATCTTCTTCGTTTCCTTTCCCAGTCAGTTCTTTTCATAAACAGTGAACATGTTCATATCAAACAGGTACATCTAACAGAATCAGCTATAACTCTGTAATAAGATGAATGAAATTCAGATGTGGTTGGGATGTCACGTACAGGTAGTGGTAAAACAGCAGCGTTTGTTATACCGCTTTTACAAAAATTGAAGGGACGTGAAATGAATGGAAGTCGTGCTCTTTTGGTTGCACCTACTCGTGAAATTGCTTGTCAAACTTTTAAAGTTGTCAAAGAGGTGACTTATTTCATTCATTTTGTATATGATACCTATTGCATTCTTCAGTTATTATCAAGTTCATTCCAAAATTGCGATTATTTGGAGGAACTCAAGAAGGGACATCAACGTATAGGACAGATCGACTAATGGTGATTGTCTTCATTCATTTCATTTTTCAAAAATATTCGTTTCAGTTGGGCCGATTCACTGGTTTAAGATGTGGTTTACTGGTTGGTGGCGACAGCATTGAAGAGCAGTTCTCTGTGGTTCATCAAAAGCCTGATATGTACGCTGTTTTCTTTTTTTTTCTTTTTGGAGGAACTCGAGAAGATGTTCAGATATTCATTAGAGCATTTAGTGAAGTGAATGCTCATAATAATCGTTCAAAGCCATTCCAGAATAATAGCGACACCAGGTCGATTGCTGCATTTGTTGATCGAAATGAATTTGAAGTTGTTGACGATTCAATATGTGGTTTTCGATGAAGCTGATCGCTTGTTTGAGATGGGATTTGCGGAGCAACTTCATGTTCGTTCTTATTCTTTCTTCTGAATTGGATCATATATGTGATGTGTTTAATCATATACTTGTTACTATTGCAGGAAATCATCAAAAAACTACCAGAAAATAGACAAACCTTACTCTTCTCAGCAACTCTACCGAAAATGTTGGTTGACTTCGCAAAGGCCGGTCTAACTGATCCTGTGCTCGGTTTGTTCGTTTATGTATTCATCTCAAATGCGCATTTTCAAATTATATGAACAACCTGAATAATGTTTAAATAAGTACACACTTCCATGAATGATTCATTGGGAATGTTAATAAGTTTTAAATTTAAGTGCGACTGGATGTAGACGAGAAGATAAGTGATAAGCTATCGATGGTATTTGTGGTGTGTCGTTCCGATGACAAGATGGCAGCGCTGTTGAATCTGGTTCGGATGTTAGTGTCAAAGCACGAACAAACAATTGTGTTTTGTGCGACGATGAAACATGTCGAATATGTGGCGTTAATCATGCAAATGGCACGTATCGATTGTGTCGTCTTGTACAGTCAGTTGGATGCTACGGCCAGGAAAATGAACATCGAGAAGTGAGTTGTGTTATTGACTTGATCAAGTTAACGCATATGTTCAAAGGACCGTCGCATCGGTGGTTCGGACTTATTATTCGGGCATATGTACACACCTTTATGATATGATGCAAATATATGATGATGATAATAATAGATTCCGAACCAAGAAGTGTTCGGTGCTGGTCGTAACGGATGTGGCCGCACGTGGTGTTGATATTCCCTTACTGGATAACGCTATCAACTTTCATTTTCCGTGTAAACCGAAACTGTTTGTGCATCGTGTTGGTATGTCTGTTCGACATTTATTATTGAGCCAATCTCATTCAGTTTCATCATACTAAAATCTATTGTTTTAATTAAGGTCGAGTTGCGCGTGCAGGTCACTCAGGTAAAGCGTTTAGTCTGATCGGTACTGACGAAATACCGTACCTGGCTGATCTATTCCTCTTTCTTGGAAGACCCATTCGGTTCGCTGATGCGACTTCTGTCTATAAAGGTATCATTAGATTATATCTCTGTTTCATTCGTGACCATTAGTATAGTTAATCTGCTTCAGAAGATGAGCCATTGGTTGGTCGATTTCCAGAGGAGCTGATTGATTTGGAAACCGATTTCTTGAAGAGTATTCACGATAACTGTGAGGATTTGGTGAGTTTTGATTTTATTCCGTCGACTAGATTGGTCTTGTTGAATTAAGTGGCAGTTATATGAA